GCACGGGGCCGTAGGGTTAGCACCTTAGGCCGCCTACGCCCAGCCATTGGGTCCGAAACGTTGCACAGTCCCATCCCAGCAGCCTTTTTCTCACGCTCCCCGGGGCAGCGATTGTTTTGCTGTCTGTGTATGCAGGTCACGCTACCATTCACGTGGTTAGCTTTCTGCTTGACTGGGGTTAATACCAGCCCTGCCCTTCAGAGCTGCAATGCTACCTTGCCTTTTCAAGTGGAGATCAAATGCTGTTCAGCAGAATTGCGTACGGTTGGTATAACCAACTAGGACATCTTTCTGGAGTAAAACATTTGACATACTCCCTTTCTCCCAGGATCTTGTTTAAATCTTCTGTGATGAGTTTGGTCACAGAAATCCACTTGAGCCTGTCACTTGATGTGCTGAAATACCACTGAGCCTGCCCCGTCTTACTGTGCCAGGCCGTCTGGTCTCTGTGGCAGTGGCACAGAGTTAGGGTTACAGTTCTCAACAGAGCCACACAGACACTTAGCTCACCTCTGGGAGGGGACCGAGCACCAAGGTGCACAGCCCCATTGGGACTAGAAACCCACGTAAATCAGTATTGCTTTGTATAAAGTTTTATACAGAGTAAGCTCTTAAATTTTTAATCCCCTTTATCAATGAAAGAGAAAGATGCACAGCTATTATGCTCTCTCCCCCCAGCAGGGATGTTTAATGTGTACAGTTAACATGCACAGTAACATGCAGCCCCCCTTTACCTCTCCCCCCCGGGGAGATGGCTTAAAAGCCAGCTCCCATGAGCACTGGCTCCCATAGAGCCGTCGGCTCCCTCATGCTGCTGCTGCCTGCCCCCCTTGCATGTAAATGTGTAACCGTTGAAAATTTCAGTGATTACATGTTTACAAAAATAAACATATTTTAACATCCCTACCCCTCAGTAACAATGATTTACACCAGGGAATTAATAAATGATTTTATTAAGTATAAAAAGGAAGATTTAAGTGGTTGCAAGTAATAGCAGACAGATCAAACTAAGTTACAAAGCAACATAAAACACACCAGCTAAGTGTGGTTCTAATACTCAAAGAAACTGGTTACTTGCAGTTCTGACCCTAACAGTAGTTCTAATCATCTTTTCTCACAAGATGGGTAGCTTCAACTTGAGTTTGAGCCTTCTTAATGTCCAGTTCTAAGTGGTTGCAGCAGACCTCTGAGATGCTAAACAGGGGTGTCAAGTCTTGTGGCTGTCTCTGTTGTTTGGTTTCCTACCTATATCTCGATATTTTCAAGGCAGGAATCCCTTGTGTTCAGATCAGCCCTTTTCATTTTCTATGAAAAAGTACAGCATCCAAAATGGGTTCCTGTATCAGATGATCTGACCACTTGTCTTGGCTGGGTCAACCATGTCCCAGCAAACAGGAAAACCCAGATTATTTAGAGATCAATGCCCTGAGTACCAGGTCATTAAGTTCCTTGTGTACTTCAAATGACCTTCGCCTAGCATGTCTAGATTAGCAAACAGGTATACATGTCATATGTTAACTTCAAATACAGGAATGATACATGCACATAAATAGAATAAACACATCTTGCAGATTACAAGCTTTCCAATGATACACAGCTTGCAGATTACAAGCTTTCCAATGATACCTTGCAAGAATTATTTTGTAAAAAGCATATTCTATATTTCCATAAAGAATATGAAATACAGTCACACCCTCAAAAGCAGAGAAATCCCAAGTCTGATTTGTTCCTAATACACTATTGTTTTTCCACACAACATGGGCAGGTGAGCACAAAGGAGACTCCCGTAAAGGTGACCTGCAGACAAATTAAATTAGCCTAGCCCTTTTTTCCTGCTGTATGATGTGTAAAATAGACGTGAACATCTACATTTTTTCTTTTTCACTTTATCAGGATTGTCAACTATTTCCCCCCTGGCTTTTCTGGCTGACTTGTAGGGAGAAGGGGGGAAAGAGAGGTCTCAAAATTTGTTTCTCCACAAAGGGTGGGGCCACTCAGCAAAATCATTCTTTAACATGTTAGTTTGTCTTACCAGAAAGGAGTTTTAAACGATCTGATTAAAAATCCACTCCTCTTTTTCTTGCCTCTTGCAATGTCATTTTCTAGTCATTCTAAGATTAGGCAGTATCTGAATTTGTAATGGGCCATGGGGGAAAGCAGAGGAAGGCTTTTGTCTTCCTTTGAACACAGTTTGGACTGCATTTTTTTGTAGAGAAATGACCCACCTCCACCCAAAAGGACAAGTCCAATATTTGCTCTTTGCATGTCATTGTTAAAGAACTTTTTCTATGCTTTTTGACAAACTAAACACTTTCAGTATTTGTTGATTGTGGCCCTCATGGTTTGGTCTTGAGCAGCGGTTCCCAAACTTTTCCAGATGGGGAAGGGTCTAGAGCAGCGGTTCCCAAACTTTTCCAGATGGGGACCTGTTTTGACAATTCAGGAAGACTTGGTGACCCATGGCAATTCAAAAACGGGAGGAGCAGAGGGGGCAGAGCCACCTGAGGAGACACTTGGCGACCCTTTTGAAATGTAGGCGACCCATAGGTTGGGAAACCCTGGTCTAAAGGAAAGCTTATTTTTATGGGAGGCACCCGATTTCACTTCCTTTTCTCTGTGCTGGAAAAGCCAGAGGTCTTCAGAAATTGTAATGCTTTCGTATGGCAAACCCATGTAGTGTAAAGAGACATGCTAAGGAGTGCACATATAAAAAAAAATGACAGTCCTGAAATCAAATGAGCTTAAACAGCAAGCTTCCTAGCCCAGAGGTAAATATCAATTAGTCATTTGCACCGGCTCCTTGGGTCTTGTGCTCATCCACAAAGCCCAGATGCTATTGAATAGCAGGCCTTTGGTAACTCTTGCAATAGTCAAGACTGCAAAACAGATTTGTGCAAAAAGAGGGCTATACTGTTTAGAGATGTAAAAATGCATCTATTTAAGTAAATGTGTAACTGCTGCAAATTTCAGCAGTTACACATCTACCAGCACATGTGGGGAGCCAGCTCCCACGGAGCTGCCTGCCCCCTCTTGTTGCTGCTTCTGATACAGAGGCAGCAGCATGGGGGGGGGGAGCAGAGCCAGGGTCCGGCACACATGCCTACTCCCCCTCCCTTGTGCTGTTGCTTCTGTATCAGAGGCAGCGGAGAGGGCGGGGGAGTGCCAGCCAGTGCTCATGGGGAGCTGGGGGGTGGGGGAGGGGGGAGTCTGCATGTAATCATGAAGGTTTTCATTGGTTAACTGTGTACACCCTAATACTGTTCTGTGAAATGCCCTTTAGGGGGCATGATTTGAACACAGGTCAGCCATTTAATCTAGAGGGTGAAAAACTACATTCACCCTTATTAAAGACTTCACTTATCTGACACTTGATTATTGAAATTTTTCATTGGGGGGGCCTAGTGCTATAGTTTGATGGGGTCCCAAACTGAGCATATTGAGCTCAAGGAAAAGCAGTTTTAAGAAATTATGGGCAAGTGGAAAAAGGATGTGAAAATGAGCATCTTCCCAAAGTTACCAATGGGAACTGTGCAGTGGCAAAAATTGAGATGCAGACAGTGAGAGAGACTGAGCTTTTTGCATGGTGTAATGTGACTACCACTGAAGCTTGTTAAGGAGGGGTGGATAGTTAAAAACTAAGAAAAGGAAACCCTGTAGAAACCAAGCAAGCACCTGTCAACCCTACAAACCTAATTTCAAAGTGGATGTATGTAAGCTAGCAATTGTTTTAATAGCGGCTACCACAGACCTATATGTGCTGGGGAGCCATAATGAGTTGTACTATTGTAGATGCCCTGTTGTCTTCATTCTAAAAGAGTAGGCTCTTTGGTTTAATCGCATGCACTGCTCATATTCTGGTATGTTAATTTTGTGTTCCCTTCTTGGCTAGCTGTCGATAGACACTCTGCAGTTCCTGCTGTTCTTGTACATTCAGCAGCTAAACAAGATTTCCTTGCGGACATCTCTGATTGGAGAAGAGTGGCCAAGTCCCAGGGCCAAATCTCAGTCTGCCAACCTGACTGGAAAATCCACCTGTGAAAACAAGGTATTGTTTGTAATCCTGTCCCCTCAGGGGTTACAAAACCTTCACCTTAAAGTGGGGGTGGGGAGAATCTCTGTTTGTGGGAGAGTGATCTGCCCAGGGCTTGGGTATGCATACTTAGTCAATTGAGCTAAATATTGAATGAGATTGAGGTCATTCTGTGCTGGTCATTAACATTAATTTTCAAAACTCTAACTTGCCCCTAAAAATTTGCTGCAGACTGAGCTTTCACATGTGGTCTCAATCTGTGATATATATTGTTTAACCCCTCCCCAAAAATCTTTGCCCTTTAAACTACAAGAATGTAACACAGCAGAAAATGTTAATTGATTTCAGAGGCTGTTCTTCCATAATTATATGTTCAGGCTTATAGGTAGCTATTCTTAGAGCAATGTCTGAGTAAGATACACAAAGTTGTGATTCAGAGAAAGAGATCAGCTAGTCAAATCTAACCAGCTGTAGGTTATGATGTCTGGTACCTGTAGTTAGCTAGGTATGCCAGTCTTGCTGCGTTACAATATTTGACAGTGAATTATAAATGGACAGCAACACAATAGAGACATTTACCTGGCCCACACCTTGAAAAAAGGCCAGCTGCCAGTGTCAGCAGGATTCTGTTATGGGTGTGACATCAGTGCTGTTGTGTCATGTGGAACAAAAAGTGCTGAACTGCAACTCAGGAGCCTGTGACACTAAAAATAGGCTTAGAATGGAAAAGCGGGGGAAAATGCTTATCCAGGGCTTTGTGCTGAATGGTCCTTTATATGTACAGTTCAAGGCATTCAGCATCGTTCTATAGCGGGTGGTTTTTGTGAACTGCCGTTCAAGTTCAAAACTAGACTGTCCCACACTGCAGAGCCTCATGACTAGATAATGGATCTGCCAGATCGATTTCAGAAGCGTCAGTCCCCCCCAAAGTGGGGTGCTATCATTGGGGTTATCCTTTTGTGAACTATTTAGGAAATGTCCCGGCTTGCCACTAACTTTATTGATACCTGACCTGGGCACTCCAGGTGACTACCTCTTTGGTGCAGTCCAGTGAGGCCTGTCCAGCATAAGCTGAGTTTTCTTTACTGGCTGTCATGTATTTGGTCTTCTCTTGCTATGGAGATCTTCAGCCCTTGGATTATACATTTCCTTTCAGATGAATGGTGAGTGGGATTTTTCCTAATAAGGGACCGTCTGAAGTTTCCCCCCAGTTCCTCCTTAGTCAGTACTTGAACCTGTACGCTTAGATTAGATGCAATCAGTAGGAATCACAGTTGTCTTCATGGAGGCTTAGACTATGAAGTGTTCATTTCCACCTTCATTTCCCAGCACCTGTGGGAGGAATGGCACACAGAATTAATGGGGGTGGTAGAAGGAACCCATGCTCTGCTACTGTTTTCACCATTTAGCTGTGGTGGGAGGGATCTGAGCAGGACGCAACAGCGATTGCATTGGGAAAGTGTATCAGTCTGGTAAGAGCACCTCTGTTTTTGTTTTGATTTTTAAGAACTGGGACGATTACACCCACCAAGCGTTTGTGCAGAACCACCTGTTGGATCTGCTGGAACTGCTACTGGATCCGGACCAGCTCACGGCCTCTTCCCATTCCACTCACAGTAGTCTGGTGTCTCTGGAAGCTGTTCGAGCTCTCAGCTTTCTTATTGAAGGGACTGTCAACAAAACCAGGACTGTTCATCCTCTCCATGAGCTTGCTCTCTGGCAGCCCTTGCATGCGAAGAACGGCTATTCAAAGATCACCAGAACCTTCTCGTTTCCCAAGCTAGAGGCCTGGCTTAGGGCCTGCCTGACTGGAAGCCCGTTTGGGACATCTGCCTGCCTCAAGTCTGGGAAGAAACTTGCATGGGCGCAGCAAGGTATTGGGAGACCTTGGCTTTGCTCTTCGGTTTTAGGATCAGCTTTCCATTCTCCTCTGTTCCCGTTTATCGAGAGTCAGGCCTGGGCACCGCTGCGTTCCTGCCTGGTGCTGTCCTCACAGGAGAGAAGGCGGAGTGCACAGCTGAAGGAGTTGGTCATGCAAAGTGCCTTCACTTTCTGTTTCCAAACTCTCCTGTTTAGCGCTCACCACTCCCTCTCTGGTCTCTAGCGTGCAGGTGTCCCTCTCTTCCTTTCCAGTTGTTGTCTAAATATTGGCTGTTGCTAGGAGACATTCTTATTCTTAAAGGTATTTATTTGGAGGGTGAATTCTGCTAGACAGTACATGGGAATGCCCAGGAAAGCTAAGCAAGTGATTGGTTGTACAGGCCCCTGTTTAGGAGGAATTGCTGTGTAAGCTGCTCCATATAGCTCTGTCAGTGTAATTCAGCCCTGACTAGTGTTACACCTCTTGTGTTTCTAAGTGGGGGGTAATAGATGAATGGGATGGCACTCTAGCTGTTCAGAGATTTTTGTGACCTCAGTCGTTGTATGAGTGCCTTACAGACATTAATTTATCATCAAACACACTTTTGAGGTAGATCAGTATTATTACCTCCAATTGAAACTGAGGCATGATGTAGGTTAAGTGACTTGCGTAAGGCCACAGAGGGCAGGTTAGGAGCTGTGACCACATCATGTATTGACATATCCAGGCTATCTCTGATCCCAGGATCAAAGCTAGCTTGGGTAACAAAAGCATGAAACTGTACCTAGTATGTATCCTGGGCAAGCAGGGTTAGCCTTAGCTGCTGCCAAGGCTTCACTGTTACTGTTACTTGAGCTTGCTCGAGCAAAGAGAGCATGGGTATGTCTGCCCCTGTGCTGCTCACGCCTCCTATTTGCTGTGTAGACAGCAGAGAACTGAACCAGACTGCCCGGGATTGATGCCAGTGCTGTAACTGCTGGGATTTTCTTTGTGATGGTGCCAAACATCTGGGGGCCTCAGAATGAAGACACTGATCTCATTTAACATGCAACTAGAGGTTTACAGAGGGAGCGAAGTCTTAATCCTTTGTGTTCCTCAGACTGCATGGCAGTAAGAATGGAAGAATGGAGTTTAGCTATGGGGTGCACACCACTGGGTAAGAATAGGTTGGAACACACGTGCTCCTATTTCTTCAATGCAGTGGTGAAAATCTGTAATTCTCAGCTTGGCAGAAAGAGCCCTTGTGTTCGTGAGGAATCGTAAGGTGAGAGCTGAGCTCTAGGTAATCCAAGTGTCAGGGTGGCTGTTTTTCTGTTGGGCTGTTTATTCTGTGGCTGCCTGGCAAAATATGGTGAGCGATATGACGTTGGGCCGCACCGGCTCTGGAAGTAAATTCAGACTTCCTGTGTGTGCTTTTTTATTTATTTTTCCTTTGGCTAATGTGTGTAACTTTGGCTTTGCAGTTGAAGGAACAACCAAGAGAGCAAAGATTGCCTGCAATGCTCATATGGTCCCGGAGGTTCACCGCATGGTAGTGATGAGCCAGGTCTATAAGCAGACGCTGGCCAAGAGCTCAGATACCCTGGTGGGTGCTCATGTGAAGATCCATCGCTGCAATGAGTCCTTCATATATCTGCTGTCCCCTTTACGGTGAGTTTACATTCTCTTATGAGACAGCATTTGAGTGGGTTGCGCCGGTATTTCCTGGTTCCTGTTAGACAATCCCACTGAACGGTGTGTGGCCACGTCCTGTCCTTGGGCATCCTGGCTTACTGTGATCTTTCTCCCTTTCAGCTCTGTGACCATTGAGAAGTGCAGGAATAGCACTTTTGTCCTGGGTCCTGTGCAGACAGCCATTCACCTCCACAGCTGTGATAATGTCCAAGTCATTGGCATCTGCCACCGCCTATCTCTCTCTTCTACAACAGGCTGCACCTTCAACATACTCACGCCTACGCACCCTCTGATTCTCTTGGGTAACCAAGCAGTAACGTTTGCCCCTTACCACACCCATTACCCAATGCTTGAGGACCACATGGCCCGGACAGGCCTGGCCACGGTGCCTAACTACTGGGACAGTCCAATGCTGGTGTGCAAAGAGAACAGCGATGCAAGTGTCTTCCGACTTTTACCGCCCACAGAGTTTTACACCTTTGTTATTCCTTTCGAGATGGAAGGAGACACAACAGAAACACCCGGAGGGCTGCCGCTTGCATACCAGAAGGCACTGAGCCAACGAGAACAGAAGATACAGGTCTGGCAGAAAACTGTGAAGGAGGCAGGGCTGACTAAGTGAGTAACTGGCTTCCTCCAGGAACAGAGGAATGTATTTAATGCCCTGAAGCTCAACTTGTCCATACATGTACAAATCTCTTTGGTTTGACATCAGTGAACAACAATGCCCTTTCGTGAGGTCTGTTTATCTAAACGGTGTTTTATGCATGAGTGCGCTGCGGGTGTGAGGAGTGGTATGGTCTTGTAGGCTGCTTTTGTGTTGAAAACTCCTGCTACCTAACTCGGAAGGAAATCTGTTGTGGGGGTGGATTTTTTCCAGGCTTGCAAAATACAGGAAAAACTGTAAAGATTTTACAAAATGAGTAAAACCCATATTATGTGTGTTCTTTCTACGTATATCGACTTCAGACAAAATCAGAAGTTTCTTGTCCTGTAAGCAATATAGATTAACACAATTAAGTCTCCAGCCTTCTAACTAGGCCTTACTTTGCTTTTGTAGCTGAGCTGGCATACTGATCTACACTCGTATCATCGGACAGCCTTCTCAGCACCTAGAAAACAAAACATGTTCTTTGGATGCTAAACTGGCTGGACTGGAGTGCAGGATTCTAGATATTGATGGGTTTGAATTTAGCTGGTCTGGTCTCCAGGATTTTCTTTGTGGTATCATTTTGATGCAGACCAAACTGCAACCTTCACAAACCCTCAATGCGGGTAGAACTCTAGATCATCAATTTTGCAGGCTAGAAGAGAAAGAAATAAAGCTGGGTTGTGTTCCAGCTAGCGATGTCAGATTGTTTTCTCTGGAGATGGATATTTAAATTTCACATGGTTACAAATGACAGTTGTGCGTAGACTTGGGTTCTGTGGAATGTAGGCATTTTTGGTAAAAGTAACAGCGCAGGGCTGAAGCCACAGAGGCCTTGTAAACTGACAGGATCTGTGAGCTCTGTGACACACAGAAGTCCTACAGTGCAGAGGTACAGTAACAGCAATGTGGGGATGTCTGCCTGGCTTACGTCCACACCAGCAGTCTCCCTCTTTCAGGGACATTCTAAATAATAGTTGGTATTCGTTGAATTCAATCTTCTCCATGTGGGAACCAAGCCCATTGGCTTTGTTAACCACGGTAACTCTACAGCTGTTGCTTATTTTCACTGCGACGGGAAAGGCCACCAGGAGGGATGGTTGGAAGCGTGGCGTGAGTGCTGACCAGACTCTTTCGCTTGCTGCATTGTTGATGTTCTGGTGGTTTTCAGGGATCAGCGGAAGCAGTTCCAGGTGCTGGTGGAGAACAAGTTCTATGAATGGCTAATTCATACAGGCCATCGGCAGCAGCTGGACAGCCTCGTGCCTCCTGTAGCTGGCGCCAAGCAAGCAGCAGGCTAGGATGCCCTCCTTTAACCGAAGGAAAGGAAGGGTGAGTGATTCCTGCTACGGGATAGAGAAATTGTCATACTCCTTCGCATACCTCTGTATGGACATGGTACGCAGACGGGAACAATGAGTGTGAAAGTCTGTCAATGGGTCTCCTCCCAACTGCTTCAGATCTGGCTTTGGTTTTCCACTTGGAGCCAAAATCTCCTCTGAGCCTCTGCCTGCCCCCTTGCGCACTCCTCCACATCTTTCTTCCATCCCCAGGGTACTTCTGGCTGAAGAGCTCTGTATGGACCTCTTCTGGTTCCTCAAGGAATCCTTTGAAATGAGGTTGAAGCACTTTGCTTAGATCTCTGGGCTGCGTATTGTCTGTCTCTGACAAACCAGCCTGCATGTATATGCATAGACAAGGCATGTGCTTCAGGTCTAGTCTGAAACCAAATCAGTTAGAACAGCCTAGTTCTGATGCGCCTTCACTTTCTGTAGCTCACCTGGTAGCTAGGGGCTTGTCGACATGGGGGCTCAATCTGCAGTAGCTTGAGAGAGGCTGGTGTGCAAATGCCCGTGTGCTCGCAATCCATTAGAGCGCAGTAACACTGCAAACCCTGGAAGCCGCTTTCCCAGGGTGTTGTGTTGGATGCAGATTGCGTTAGTGCAGTTGGCTGTGTGCAGGCAGTGTTGCCATGCACTCCTTCGCCCCTCCTCCAGCTGCTGTGGCCTTCCCACTGTGTCTCATGCCGTTGTGAATCAGGCCAGTCTCTGTCGCTTGCTTCCGTGTGACATCGCTGGGATCAGTGCTCCCCACTTCCTCCTGCAAGGCACGGCAAAATTGCAAAGCCAGAGTGGGAGCATAATTCCCATCCCACTGCCAGACTCAGACTCAGACACAGCTGCCTCTCCTGCAGCATCCAGCACAGCCGGGCTAGCCCTCCTTGGGCGCGTGCTGCTCTCTGGGTCCAGCAAGACGAGAAGGATCGGGATTGGGGGGGAATGAGAGAGACCTGATCAAAATGCTGCCCATGTCTTCTGGAATGGCATTGGCAACTGCTTGGTTGGTCTTTTTCCTACTTCCTCAGTAGCAGCACCTGCAGTGACCAGGCCTTCAAGGATGGGGCCTTTATTAGCGGCTTATGGGGAAAGAACAGCCAACATGGGATGAAATATCCAGCCTTCCTTGTA